GAATAGAGAATACTTGAAGTAACAAGCTAACAGAGGCAATATAATTTTAAGAAAAAAAGATTTAAGAAAAATATATAAGCAATCCTAAATTGTGTAACTTAATTACATAATTATAGACTATTTCCTGATTCAAGATTTAAGTTTCATCAAAGAAGTTCTTAAATTGTGTTCTACATTCTTGTAGTATTTACCGCATCATATTGCTTTGTCTTTTATTTACCTCCCTTATGTTATCACTCCAACTTGTCCTTAACCTACAGGAAAAAGAGTAGAGCATCTTCTCTTTTATGTCAACTAAGATGCCACATAGTTCTGTGCATACAGCAAGAGGTCAAAAATGTTTCATCTCCTGCAAGATTAGCATGCCTCTTTTCTGTTCTGGTTGGCATGGAGATCAAACCCGTAACCAGTGTGGAAGCCTAACTAACCGTATCATGATACCACAAGCTGTCAACAAGTCATACTATCTTTGGTGCCCTGATGTAAGTAAAACAAGTAAGTGACTTGAAAACACCTTCTAATTAAAGCTTACAAAAATCATTCTGTATAATGTAGATCTCAGGAAATTCAAACAGATACAAATTGAATCGTTTTTTTGTAATTTTCTTATTTCAGTTTTTCTCAATATACAATAAGATCAACATGTAACAATTTCAAATATACAAACAGTTTTCCTGTTCCACTTATTGAAGTGAGAGTACTACTTTCCATCTAGGAGAGGATACACTCTAAATGCAAATTGAAAGCAAAACAAGACACTCCAAGTGAGAGAAGTCCTTGCAGCTTGTGAGGATGTCTTGAAGCATTGTTGATCTCTATTCAAATGTATAGGAACATACACTTGTAAAATAAAAATATAGATTACAATTGCACTCATATATCTTATCTCAGCTGTCTTTATGTATATTCAATATAAATTTAAAAGAAATAAAGCGTTCTGATCAGGTTCTCAGCAGTAAAGTCTTAAGTCTAATAAAAAAATGCCCCACCGAAAAACATCTTGTTGGCAAACAGCCTGCTATGAAAATGAAAATTACCTGAATTTGATACACTTTCACTTCCAACTTTGTGTAACAGATTTTATCTAGTCTTGAAGAAACTTCTTTATGATCATGAATTGTGAAAAATTATGCATAAACATGCTAGCATACAAGAACCTTGAGCTTTCCAAATTATAATTTCAAAAGAACCTTTTTTAATTTAAAGAGAAAAAAAAGCAAAACAGAAGAAAGGGTAGAAATAATACAGAATTTCAAAAAAATAAACACTAAGAAATCACTAGTTGATATATTGTCATCTTAGAAAAAATTGTTCAAGTTACAAAATTAAAGCATAAAAAGTGGCCATTCATACAGTAAGACTGCAAACAGTTGTGTTCAATTTTCCAGCAAAAACTTAGTAATATGGTTATGAACCCTGTACACTTAAACATTCTTGCAGTTATATTCTTTAAAGCAATTACTTTTCCTTTCTTTTTTTACAATAGTATAGCAATTACACATTGTGGGTCTTATTACTCCTACAGTTTTTATAACTTTTTACACTAGGGACACAATGTGATATTTATAAATATAATTATTAGTTATTTCTCTTATGAGGATAGTCTCCAGTTACCTCCATTTATGTATGAAGGGCTCAAGAGCATCCTTTTTAAAGCTGAGTAATATTCCATTGTCTTAAAATACCACCTTATTCATCCACTCTGTGGTTGATGGGCATTTTGGTTTTTTCCAAGATTTAGTTATCACAAATTGTGCTGCTATGAACATGGGTGCCCGTATATCACTGTGACATGACCTTTCAGGTATCTGGGAAAATACCAGGAAAGGAGTAACTGGATTGAATGGAACTTCCAATTCTAGTCTTCTGAGGAATCTCCATACTGATTTCCATAGTGGCTGCACCAGTCTACACTCCCACCAACAGTGGAGCAGTGTTCCTTTTTCCCTGCAGCCTCGCCAACATTTGTTATCAGTTGTTTTCTTGATGGCAATCATTCTTTCCAGAATGAGATGAAATCACAATACTGTTTCAATTTGCATTTCTTAAATGACCAGTGATGGTGCACATTTCTTCATGTATTTATTTGCCATTTGTATACCTTCATTTGAGAACTGTGTGTTCATCTCAGATGCCCATTTTTGCAGAGGGTCCTTGAATTTGTGGGGCTTGATATTTTTCAATTCCATAAATGTTCCAGATATAAGTCCTTTGTCTGAGGGGTTGCTATCTAAAATTCTTTCCCATTCTGGGTGTTTTATTTTCACTCTGTTGGTGATTTCTTTTGAAGTGCAAAAACTTTTCGATAATATGAGGTCCCAGTTGTTGATTCTTTGAAATGTTTCTCATGCGGTTTGTGTTTTATTCATGAATCCTCTGCCTAACCCTACGTCTCCTGTCTCCAAGACTTCTACCTACCTTGTCTTCCAGTAGATTTAGTGTTTTTGCTTTAATATCTAAATCTTTGATCCATTTTGATTTTAGTTTAGTGCATGGTGATAGGCATGGATCTAGTTTCAGTCTTTGGCATATGGAGAATCAATTATTCCAGCACCATTTTTTTAAAGAAGCTATCCTTCTTCCAGTGAACATGTTTAGCCCCTTTGTCAAATATCAGGTGTCTGATTGTCTCTGCAGTTCTTTTTGCATCTTCTAATTTGTTCCATTGATCTCAGGTCTATTTCTTTTCCAGTACCATGCTGATTTTATCACTGTAACTTTGTAGTATTGTTTTAAGTCAGGAATTGAGATGCCCCCGTCCTACCCTGCTGACCAAAATTGCCTTTGCTATTCTAGATTTCTTCTGTTTCCAAAAGAATTTTAGAATTCTTCTCTAGATCTGTAAGGTATGTTAATGGTGTTTTGATTTAGATTGCATTAAATCTGTGTAACACTTCTGGGAGTGTGACCATTTTCACAATGTTGGTTCTTCCTAACCAAGAGCAAGGACTACCCTTCCATTTTTTAATATCCTCTTCAATGTCCTTTTTTGGCATATAATTTTCAGCATGTAGGTCTTTTACATTCTTGGTTAGCTTGATTCCTAAATATTTCATTTTATTAGATGCTATTGTGAAAGGTGATATTTCCATAATTTCTTTCTCAGCGAGATTTTTGTTTGTGTACAGGAATGCTATTGATTTTTGAGCATTGATTTTGTATCCAGTTATAGTGCTGAATTTGTTTATTACCTCTACTAGTCTTTTAATGGAGTTTTTTGGTCAAAACAACATTTAAATAAATGGAACTATTTTGCAAGTAAAACAGTTGTCAATATAGATATTTCAATAAAGAATAAGTGGAAATGTTTTTTTGCATTCAGTCATCTCAAATTTGTTATGTGATTTAATACCAGTAATCTATCAAGCCTGACATCAACAATTAAATATAAGTTGCCATATTTCCTTGTAGGCTTAGAACTATAAACAAGGGTATGTTCTTATGCGGCTATTGTTATATGTTCTTAAAAGGCTAAAGCAACCATCACAATCTCAATCTTTTTTCAAAGGACTATTGACAGTTGACATAAGAAAATATGTGCAGGAAGTGCACTATTTCAGCAGGATCTTACAAAATGCATTTAAATAAATGTCTATAAAATTACTGTAATTTGTTTCTAAATTTAGTCTTTGTTGAAAACATTCTATTGGTTATATATCTCACATAACACATCTTACAAAGCATACTAGTCAATGATAGGTAACCTAAGTTAAAAACCACATAACTTAAAATTATACCTATAATAAATCACATATTTAATGAAACATAATCTGCTATGTGTGTACTTATATTGCTATTATGTAGAATGAAATGTCCAAAAATGTGGGTTCTTATAGCCTAATGATGCGATAAAATAGTCCTGCAAATGTGCAGATTAGCTAAAGCAGGAAGCAAGGAAAAGAAAGGGAGGGAGGAAGACACCTAGAAAGGGATGGAGAGAACGGGGGCTGGAGGTGAGGACTATTTGTGGGCACAGCGTTACGTGTTAGGCAATAATCTAATTGTTTCCTTTTTCTTCTAGTTTCTGTAGCACAGTTTCTACTATCCCTAGAATTTAACAGCCCATTTCTTTCTAAGGGAGGATATGACAATTCTGGAAAAATTGAATGAATTTTTCATAACCATGCAGATAAAAAAGGGCAGAGCTAACATTATCATCTATTGACTTTTGATTATCCTCAGAGGGTGGACTGTGCTTAAATACAGACTAAACAAATATTTAGCTCTTCTTATTTTGGTTGTTTACCTCGTTTCCTGATAAATGTTTTATTCACCAGCAAAGATTCAGGATATAATGCTTCTCTTACAATAGGAGAAATAGGAGCAAACAAGTTCTAAACATATTGTACTTTAAGACATTTTATACCTAACATTCTGAGTAACAATTTGATGAATCTTAGCTAAAAATAGGAGAAAATTATATGGGGAAAAAAGCACCTAATTGTTCTTTAAAATGTTTATTTCACAACCTGTTATAAATGTCACTTTTTTCATCATTTCTTGCTGGACTATCTCTTAATAATAAAAATAGTTACTCTTTTAGATTCCTTGTTGAAAGCCTGTGATAATGAGATTATGTTGTTTTACTAAATTGCACACATGCAAATTCTGTAACACAAACAAGAGGTCAGCTTTGTTTCTCAACACCAAATTAAATTATACTAAATTAAACTATACTAAAAGGAAGTGCTTGGCTAAGGCGGTCTGGCCATCTCAACAAATGACTATCATTTATGCAGTTTGTTCATTTCCCTGCAATGCCTGTGCATGTTCAATAAAAATCGATACAAGAGAAAGGATATGAAATCCCTACCAGCAAAGTTGGAAGAAAAAATAACACACTAATTTAAAGTATACTTCAGCTACCTGTCATGAACAAATTAAAAAAGCCTTTAATGGAAAGAAGTGCAGTACTTGGCAACTTCATTATTTGCCTGTGTGGATGAATCAGCTTTTTCTAGTCTTAAAAAAGAATCCAAGTGTCTTCCTGTCTTCCTATCTGGAGGCACTGCGGTCTCTCCATGGAATGAACTGGGTTGTTAAAGTTTCACATCTCTGGATCCAAAAGGTAAATAGTTTCCATATTGGATTTCATCCTTTAATTTTTAAAATAGCATCTTTTTTTGTTGACATTTTTGGCCAACCAGTCGTGCTCTTGATTACTTCATTTTAATGCTACTTATCATTTGTAAATTTTCATGAATGAAGGGCCTCAAACACCGGATTTGCCATAAAGTATTTTGAGCTAAAAAGTAGAAGGAGAAATTGCAAAATTCCTCCATTCACAATCTATAAATCATATTAGAAGAGACTTTCAATTGCTTACCCAAGTTTTCAGCTTCCAGCTTCTGTGTTTACAGATTCCTGTTGTTAAACATGTAACGTTCTGATTTAATCTTTTCGATCTTAAAGACTCCACCACAGCCAAGGCCCTAATTACAATAGCAAGAACAGCTTTGAGAAACTGAGAATGAAGAGCAAAATCTTTCATTTTTAAAGAGTGTAGATTAAATTATATTCTTTATTTCTTTAGGCAAATGTAGCAATGGACAACTACAAAACAGTTTTGCCTTATAATTGGTGCTACACGTTATTTGTTTCAAAAATGTGTAAATCTACTGGGAACCTCATAAAAGTATAACAAATAGAAAGTTTAAGAGTTGTGTTGAATTGATGCAAAGTAGTCTTGTGATTTTTAGTTATTTCATTTGTATTCATCTAAAAGTTAGTTGACTACATACAGTCTCATAGTTGAATATGAGAATATTTAACCGCTAGGATTGCAGAATTTACATAAATAATAATTTAAATATTTTCTGGTGATACATTTCATTTTGTATTGCATTATAATTTAAATACTGCAAGATTTTCCATTTTTAAATAGTTTCAACATAGTAATAGAACTATACAACTAATTCTACCACTATTATCTAAATCTAGAATACCATCACTGTCCCAAAAGAAAGCAGAACCCATTTGAAGTCATTGGTCATACTTCGTTCTTCACAGATAGGAATTGTTAAAGTACATTCTATGTTTGCTGACTTTCCTATTCTGGACATTTAAAATAAATGAAATTGTCATATGTGGCCATTTTCATTCAGCATATTGTACTAAAGACTGAGATGTGTTTTAGAGTGAGTCAGATTTTTTATTTAGTTTTATAATTAAATATAATTTTAATTTTATGGATGTACAGATTTTTTTTTGAATTAATTTGTCAAGTGATGGACTTTGCTTTCTTTTCACCTCGAGTCTACATGGAGTGCTATCAACATGTATTCTTTTCTTGATTTTTTTTAACAAACGGAAGCATATATTTCAGGTAAGAATTGATGGCTCATATGTTAACTCTATATTTAATTGTTTGAGAATCTATTCACTTTACAAAGTGACTTCAGCATTTTACATTTCTCCCAGCGTTGTACAAGGGCTCACATTTCTCTTCCTTCTTGCCAAAACTTGGTGCCTTTATTTTTGTATATAGCCTTCATGATACAAATTTGTATCTTAGTGTGAATTTTTTACTTGATATACATAACCTGAATGCTATAGGAATACACATGAAAATAAATACACAGATAATTAGTTAGATAAATGGTAGATAAAACATGTATGCATAAAGTTTAAAAATTATTCAAAGAAATGCTGCAATTTTTTTCTAAGAAATGACGTATTTATAGCACCACCTACTCTTTTATATGAAAAGAAAGCATTCAATGGCTGGCTTTGGAGGAAAAAATTATTGACAGAAAGTGAGAAGAGAGAAATATTTCAAAAAGAATATTTTAAATTAATTTATGGAAATTGAATTGGGCAAGGTATCTTTGTGAATCACTGACTATACCAATGTTGCTTGACAGTTTAAAATGGGTAGAGGATAAGGTAGTGAACCGTAACCCCTGTATCTGAAACAGAGACACACAGATGTGACTGGAGCGATTAAACCCTTTCAATATTTTGAAATAATGTAAGACATTTGTAGGCTTAATCATTATAGTAGACCATATATAATAATAAATATCACTGTACTTTTATATTTCATTAAAACTCAGAAGGACAATATAATGGTGCGGAGGAGGACACTTGTGTCCTATTGGTAAAGCATCAGAAGGAGTGGGGCTGGAGGTTTAGCTCAGTGGCATAAGCGCCTGCCTTGGAAGCAGGCAGTCGTGAGTTCGATCCCCGGTACCGATAAAAAGAAAAAAGACAAAAAAAAAAAAAAAAAAAAAAAAAAAAAAAAAAAAGAAGGAGTGACTCAGAATGAGGCAAAGGTTGTGCAAACATCTATCACCTGCGTCTGCATGTGGCTTTCTGAGTACTCTAGGATTATGATTATTTCTGGCCTCTGTTATTCTAATCTAGCTAGTTTCCTGGTTGCATTATGTTTCTAAAAATATTTCACATGAAGGCATTAATAAGCTGTCATAATTGAAGACAAGATATTTATCAATTGAAAGTGAATAGTTAGCGAGGGATAACAGAATTTTTTTGTTTGCTTCTGTGTTTTCTTTTAAATAGCAGGAATCAAACAGACAACCTTGCATTCAGCAGGCAGGCGCTGTGACACTGAGCTACATCCTTGTCCCAATACATAAAGAGTGCAGCTAGGTGTCAGCTAACCTCCCTGCAAGCCCAAATATCTTTGATTCAGACAAGTGACTCATTGATTTTAAGGTTTCCAGGAAGTTCTTTTGGCAAGGGTAACAGTAGATAGGAGACAAAACTGGAAATCAACATAATAGAATGTGAGAAAATGGAGAAAAACGTGAAAGGAAGGGAAAAGGATATGGGAAATGGCAGAGGCAGAGCTGGGACAATTTGAACAGGCTAAACTAGAAAGATGAGGGCAAAAACAGAGTGGAGAAGAGCAGAGGTGAATGTTCCTTTCGAAATGCAGTCACAAGAAACGGAACTCAGAAATTAACATTATAATGTAAATGTCTTTAGCTTGAGTAGTTATAAGTGAAGTAATGAGGTGTGTTATGAGTTATAAGTGAAGCAATGAGGTCCTCTGGTGTGCAGCGCTAGAGAAGGAGGGTGCAATATTAGCTGCGGTCGTCAATGTCAAGAACTGAGACTTTTAAATTATTACTCTGTTGATGAGAGGAAAGTGATAACCTATACTTAGATTTCTCTGATTATTCAAGTTTCTGCATATGAGTTCTTGATGTATTATTTCAGATTATCTGTAGAAAAATAAATAATATGATAGATAAGGAGAGTTTTGTGTGTGTGTGTGTGTGTGTGAGAGAGAGAGAAAGAGAGAGACAGAGATAGAGAAAGAAAGAATATACCTGGATAATTCATTGAGAACAGAAAATAATATGTAGATGAAAAAATCTATGGAAATAACATATAGATAAAATTACAATACATGTCAGGATTCTGAGGATGTAGAGGCACCAAATATTTCAGTGTGAAAGTTTAAAATCCTCATACAGTATAATATACTAAAATATATATATTATATAATGAAGGTGATGTCATAAGAATTGAGATTGTTCAAGTGGTAAATATTTAGTAGCTGCATTTAATGGGAACGATATTGTACAATTGCCCCTACCTGTTTTAGGAAAGAGACAAAAATACATTCAATCAATCAAATAAATGTGCTGAGGTTTACATTCCTCTTTTGAGGAATTCTCAACTAGTGAACTTGCAGGAGTATGCCTGACCATTTTTGTCTCTCGGTGTACATATAAGGATGCTGCTGGGGGAAATCTTTTCACTGGAACATGACCAGGATGCTCACCTGGTAATTTTTGCCACTGACTAGAATGACAAGTTCAAGGTGCATGCCAAACTATCAGCGATAGGAATATTTAATTTTTCATTTTATATGAGGAAAAACTGAAGTGGTGCCAATTGCATGCACTGTGTTTGACAAAGAATGCAGTATAACAGTGGATTGCGGGAAGTGACATTGGACCCAAGGTACTTTGAGAGATATGACACATTAGATTATTATTATTATTATTTTGTGTGTGTGTGTGTGTGTGTGTGTGTGTGTGTGTGTGTGGTACTGGGGATTTGAATTCAAGCCCTAGTATGTGTGAGGTGTTGGCTACAGCACTGAGCTACATCTCTAGCCTTATTCTTTTGTTATATTTTTGAGAAGGTTCTCACTAAATTGCCCCGGTTGCTTTCAAAGTTCTTGGGATCATCCCCTCTCAGTGTCTCATTTATGTGGGATAACTGGGATGGACCACATTGCCTAGTTATCTTCAGTTGTTTGTCATTCTTCTTAAGAGGTGTTCAAGAAAATGGTAACATAAGTGACTTATTATACAACATGATCTATTGCCTCAGATGTTTATCAGCTATTTGAACTACTTAAATAAAATCCTTGGATAAATTATGCAGTGATGCAGTCTGTCCGAGTCTGCTGTTGTAGATGAACAGGATAAAAATTTGACACATTTCAATATGCAGTTTGGGGACAAATAGGCACTTTAAGATGAGGAATTGTACAATTTCAAAAATTTAATATTAATCTTTAACTCCATTTCTATTTTGAGGTTTGAAAACTGAAAACCCAAGGCTTTGTGATTGAAACTCAATTGTAGTTTCCCATTTATTGCATTTTATAACTTTCATTACTTGCAATATGTAATTTAATCAATCATTCTTATTAGAATTTCCTGATTTAAAAAAGTACATAAAATTATATTTTGCTGAATTATAAATGTGAATATAATAGCCATTAATGTTTCCTGGTACCCATAAGCTAAACTGAGATTCTACTATTTTATTAAATCCAAAACCGCTTCCCTTTTGCTTCTTTCTTTGGGACCTTTTTTGCCAGCACTGCTCATAAAGATTTCTTAAAATTATGCTGCTATCATTGCAACTAAAGGACAATTTTATAGCGATATACTTCTTGAATACTTAAAAGTAAGAAGATACAGTGTTTCCAATAGATGTTTATATTTCTAAGCTTATTTACTATATTGTAGAAATCAGAATATATCTATTTCTGTATTTTCTAGATATTCATAAATGCTTTATATTTGCCACAAACAATTTTGATAAGGAGAGACTACAAGAATGTGAATACAGTGTAGC